GGGGTCGAATAAAAAACACCTATTTCCGGCAACAGCCAGTCAATCAACGCCGCGATACCGACTGTTTACAATATTTGAAATCTGAGATTGTAATTTATCAACAACAAAACTCTTTCGATCGTATACAGCAACAACAGCCAGCAAATCAATGCCGCGATAGCGACGGTTTACTATATTTGAAATCTGATATTGTAATTTGCAAAAGCTCTCTTTCTATCTTATACTAATACGGTCGATCGATCGAAAGAGTTTTGTTGTTGATAAAATACAATATCAGATTTCAAATATTGTAAACAGTCGGTATCGCGGCGTTGATTGGCTGGCTGTTGCCGGAAATAGGTGTTTTTTATTCGATCCCCCCCCCTGAAAATCCAAACGGTAAAGGAGGCTAGGTGGCCAAGCAGGCGCCGTAGTAATTATCGGGCTAGTTCTAAGTTCCATAGAATTTTAGTCTCGAAACATTTCGCTAAAAATCCATTGCAAAAATTATAGGACGTGTTAATATTGCTTTGTATGTTCGAAGATGGGTGTTTATTCTATACGCTGGCGAAGTTTTACCGCGAAGAAAGCAATTTGAAGGGGATATTTTTCGATTTGAATTGTTCGTGTCGGCTGTTTGAGAACTGGAATCGTTAGCCTTTGCTTTCAATACTATCACCTATGAAGACAGTCGCAGGCATCGAATGTAAAGTCGCTCAGAAATAAAAGACGATCACATACAATCAAAGTAGGCAAGTAAATATGATTTTAAAATATAAAATTCATTACAAATTTTACTGTGTAGTATATTCTATAATGATATATTTACTATACACTAATACACGTCTGGGCCGCTTGTGGTCACACGCGTCTCACTAGGAGCTTGATTTGCCTTTAGAAATTCGCTGGCAGATAGCTTTAATTTTTCAGCTACGCCTACGGATTTAGTTATTGTATCTCTCGCCTCAACAATGTTTCAAAAGATGTTTAATGTTCATGCGAAACTTTAACGTTTGTCTGGAGCACTTGAAGAGTTTTTACGTTTTACAGTCAAAATACAAAAACCTTCCCACTTCCACTTCTGTAACTTTGTTTTGTATTTCTGTAATTTGTTCTATTTTTCTGTAGCGATTACCACTTTATCGGCAAATATCGCGATAGGGTCCGGTAGAATTTCGCTTTCCTTCGTTTATATACGTGATACGTCAATTTGTAGCAATGGATACACCTTTCGTTATATTCTTTGCATAAAGTTGCGAAATTTAGATTATGCAAAGAATCTAACGAAAGGTGTATCCTTTGCTACAAATTGACGTATATAAAGGAAAGAAAGGGATATTTGCCGATAAAGCAGTAATCGCTACAGAAAAATAGAACAAATTACAGAAATATATAAAACAATTTACAGAAGCGGAAGTGGGAAGGTTTTTGTATTTTGACTCTAATTGGCTTCCCCAATCACTGGTCTGGACGTCTAGTTCTAATTGTGGAACTACTAAAAATAGAACCTGTCAAGCGCTATAGTCTAGACAATGAGACATTATTGTCTAGATGTAGTAAACAAACTTAAAAAACTTGCGTTGACTTGCGTGAAAAGTTCTAAAAACAACATGGAGAATATCAGTCATATCACTGATTGTATCGAAGACAGTGAAGCAAGCAAAGTAAGTTCAGACGGTGAAATAACTGAAGATTGTCGTGGAAATGACTCAAATTAGTTGCAAGCTTGCGAAGAGGGTGATCGACAATAGGTGTTACGGTTGGAAAGCACAGATATAGACGCATAGAAAATGTTACGAACCCGTCTAAAAAACTGTTTCGGAGTAAAAGCAAACGTGAAAGATGTCACATATGTCGAAAAGAGATGCTACTTCAAAATTTAAAAGACCACATGAAAAATGCCCATAACTCTACAGAAGTAAGAGTACTTGGACAGAAGTCGCTTATAGAACTATTTGGGAATAAAGTCAAAGATAACAATGTCAAACGGAAACGTGGCCACAGTGATGTAGACGAAGAGCCTCTGTTCAAAACTGCTAAAACGGCCGACTTGTCAATGTCAATGTCAATATCATCTGGTTCAACACCGCCCGCCTGGTTTTGAAAATACAGCCGACGAAAGTACCGCGAAAGTAACGCTCAGCGCCTCTGGAGAGGACAATTTCGCAGAAAGCAAATCCTCAGTTGCATCTAAGCTTGACGAAATACTGACAACTGTAAATAACTTAGAAAATCGCATGTCCTGCTTGTCCATCACACCCTCACCGGAAACGGTGGCTGTGGAGTCTGAGCTTCCTACAGTTACAGAAAGAAAGTCAACAAGGTGAGCTTTTCCCTAAATCAAATAAGCAGTGACATAGCTATAGGAACCGGGGCATAGGACTATAGGAGGTACATCCACTCCCCAACGTTTCTAATTCAAAGTTCCGCGCTAAAGTTTAAACAATGTCAATGAGGAACTCTCTAACTTGAAGTTGTTTCCTGTGCCCATGCATTAATTGTATACGTACGGACTTATATCAGTTATGTGAATTATTTTACAGTAGCCATATACTTTCCAATGTTTTCTCAAGTTTTAACTTTATTTTTACTTTTAGATCGCTTTTTGATTTAATGACGACATCGAAGAAGTTGTTATATGTTCCATATGTAATCCACCCAACGAACCAAGAGAAGTAAATTTTCTCGGAAGAACCGGCGTATTTATGTATAGTAACGATTCGCAAAAAACATTTGAGAGCGATGAAAAAATGTCAAGACAGTTTCGGAATTTGAAAACTCGCTTGTTTGACCACCTTCAAACTACAACCCACCTCGAGAAACAAAAAGAGATTACAGATGTTGAGACTGGAAAGCAAGAGTTTGAATCAAGAAACAGGAAGGTTGGCATGAGATGTGCCCGTACAAGCTATTTACTTTATAAGACTGCTAGGCCGTATAGTGGGTACGAACAGCTTGTTACTTTAGAAAGTTACAATGGCTGTGATATGGGTAACATCAACCATTCACGTAAGTTCCCTGCTCAAATTTTGCCATTCATCGCAGATGAGACGAAGGCACGTGTTAAAAAATTCTTATGTACACCTCTTGTACAGACTGGTTTTCTTCCTCCTGTTAAAGTTATTGCTGACAAGGATACAAAGAAGCATCGTACAAGACAGGTAGTTCTTTTGGTTACGATTGTACCTGATGCCGCAGAGTTGATACAGTACATCTATCTTGACCATCCAATTGTAAAGAAACACACTGGGAAGGACGTTGCTGCATCAATAACAAATGTTCTTCAAAACTATATTGTTGCTGGACAGTTTGAAGGTGGTGGATTTGATGGTCAGTATTTTCATCTTGGCGTTCCAGAATATGTCAACGCACATTATGAGATTGACTATTCAGATACTTACTATGACTGGGACGTTCTTCATTGCTGTGGCCTTGTTGACACTCGTCTTCGAAAACTTGAGCAGTTCCAGTGGCTTTCCAACATCACCAACACTGTTTCCTCTATTTTCAAATTGTTCAACTGGGGGAAAGGCTACGAGGAGCTAGTTGAAGCATGTGATCGTTTGAAATTAGCTATACAGAATCCACAGTTCTTTTGTGAAACGAGGTTTGCTAATTCTGTACGGAAGGTCTATGGAAACTTTTTGGCTGATCTATGAGCCATCATTGCCTGCCTGGAGAATACGAAATTTGAGATGCATGACGGTGATGCGAGCGAAAGAGAGAAGGCCCAGCAAGCGGAGCAGTATCAAGTGAAAATCCAGAACAACAGTTTTTGTCTGCTTCTTTCTGGATTGGCGGATATCTATGAACAGTATGGGGTCTTGGTCTCAGAAGTTCAAAAAGTGAACCTACTACCATTTCAGCGATTTGACAAGTTTACAGGTCACATGGAGAAAATGAAGAAAATGGTCAAGTGCCTTTCAGATCACAACAACTGCGGGAAGGACAAATGCTTCTGGCCACATTATCACAAGAACAAACCAGGCATTCTTAACGGCCAGTTTGTTGGCACTCAGATTATAGAGGATCACGAAGTACAGCATGTTCATAACACGAGGAGAGCCCGGCAACAAGAAGCAGATAATGCCACCACAAGCCCCGTCATGGCCGCGGAAAGGAAACTCGCTGACTTGACAACCCAACTTGTGAAAGGTTTCAGGGAATACGTTTATAGCGAAGATGCCTTGGAAATGGTTGAAAGTACAAGATTTTTGACTGATCTGACATCCTTAGCCATGCAGATTCGAGAGAAAGGACATATTTTATTAGGTGTTCTTAATGCCGACAAGTTTGTTCGAATCGCCAAGAAAATCTCGCGAAACGTCCGCGTTGTGAATAACCAAGAGATAGTCCGACAATACAAGATTTTCGTACGAAGACTAGCATCAAAAACAGAAGCAATAGCAATACCAGAGTTGCAAAAGATGGATAGCAAGAATTTAATAAAAAAATTCCTGACCAGTGGCGGTGAACTATACGTTGGTTGTGAGATGGTAGTTGAAGCAATAGTTGTTGCAGCAATCAAAATGACTGTTGAGTCTATTGCTGAATCAGATATTTTGCGCTACAATACGCACAACAGTAAACTAAGAAGTATGTCCGAGGAAGCTGTGCTGATCGCATCTTATCTTCAGCCTTGTCAAAGTATTTCAGGCATGGAAACTGGCATTTTGTAACAAGAAAAGGAGAGCAGAGTAAACTTTATAACAGCAAAGTTATAAACAGAATCATCTCACAAGAATCGAGATTGCCCTTCGTTACACAATAGGGTGCATGTTAAGCAAATATCTACTTCACTGTGCTATGTAAATTACAGTAGTTCACTTCGACTTTGTAAATAGATTCTATATACATCACAAAAATATTACTCTTTTTAGTCTATTTCAATAATTATGTAACTTTTTCTGGATAAATGATAAGTGATAACATGCGTTTGCTGTGAGCCTGCCCACAAAATAAAACAACTGTTGCCGACTTGTATGCGGCACTTGTTGTTAGATATGTATGTGCCAACTGCAAAAAGTGCAAAGAATGATCATTCCTTAGTTAAAACCATAATCACCAATCACGTGTGCATTATACAGGTATAGCTACAATTTATAGCGCTATATTTGACATGGTCATAATCTACACACTGCAGGTCTGCAGGAAATTTATAATCTTCTTACTGTGCTCGCAGGAAGAAAATTATTTTTTCCACCCCTGCATACAGACAGAACGCGATTCCACAATGGGACACGAATTTTCAGTTTTTAAACAAATAAAACCGTCAAAGGATAAAAAATTTACAAGATATGCAGACCAAATAGCTAAAATTGATTAAGTGGTTCCGAATATTTGAAAAACATAGAAAAATATTAAAGTTAAATGTCATTGAAAATTCGCGTCGCGTTGCCAAAGCGCGTCCGGTCTGAATGGGCCTTAATAAATGTATAAAAATTCTAGTTGAAATTTCCATGTACAAAACCCTTCTTATTTTCTATGGTGTGTATCATCAGTAACACAACTCTTCTAACTCTGATAATAAGCATTATTTATTGTCTCAATATTACTGAATTAATATATACCCAGTTTCGATACATTATATACTAACATTACATCTTAACTGTATAGTTACGTCTTTAGCACCAAAATACGAACAGATTGCTGTAACAATAAGCGCAGTTATAGTGTCCTGCCCCAACAGTCCCGGGGGAGGTTACTGCAAACAATAAACAACTACTCATGTCCATGTGGCTGCAGTCATTGCCCCACCTACCCACCCAGGGGCAAGATGGGTCAACAAAAAGATTCCAACAGGATTAAACTTCTCTTCTCCAACATATATAAAGACTGATGGACACATAATTGATTGCAACCACTCATAAAACTTTCGCGAATCTTCATACATCCATTGCTCATCTTCAGTAGGGTAACTCATCCCAAAAATACTGTTCAGACATTTTATCTCAAAGTCATGTTCATCATCGTCCTCGTCGTCGTCATCGCTTGATCGAACGTGGAAGTATATTTTATCTTCCCTCAAATCGCCTACATTTTTCTCAGGATTGTTAGGATAATACTCATATACTTGTGGATGAAAATTGAAGATTTCTTTCTGTAGTTCTAGCGGTGTAGGTAGTTCCTTTTTGTCCCAGGGAAATATAACAGCACAAATGTCATTCAACCCTTCGTTGAGTGAGCACTGGTTACCTACAATGAAATGGTTTAAGAGGAGAATCTCTTGTATGTTACGTAACACGCGCTCAAAACTAATAAATACACTTTTCAACTTGGTTATGACCATATCCAATTTTTTGACATACTACCGGGTGGCGCAGAAAAACGTTCCCTGTTTGATTTGATAAAGTGGAGAAACTAGAACAGCTAATTCGCTCAAATGACATGCGTTTATCGTATTCATGCAGAAGTGGCTAACTTAAATTTTGATAGGTTATGCACACGACAATCACAATTTCATTAAATATTTACCAAGATATCAGCGCTTAAACTTGGGTAAGCACTTTCGCAAGTGTTGAAAATTAGCTAAAACGGCCTATTAAGTATTCGTTCATCAATGAACTGCATTTAGGCAAATTATACATTCAGAATCCGTTTGATTTTTAAAAACAAATCTTTATTGATTAGAAAATGCATGTCCGCCGCATGCAACGTCTTGCTCCTGAAAGCATGCAGTCGAATTGAAGGAATCTTGAATTATTTGCTGCTCCAAGTTGCGGCATGCTAAAACAACGCTTCACGAAGCTGTCTCAAATTGGTTGGTTGCTAATCGATGTGGCATACTCCAAATTTGATATTTCAACTAGCGACAAAGAAGAAAAAAATTGGACACTGTCAAATCTGAAAGCGAGGGTTATCTCCGCGTTCACTAGCTCGCCCATGCAGAAAAATTGTGAAAATCGGAACGTGTCACTCACCACTTTGCATCTCCAAGCGAGCCGCTTCACTTCTCATGTAAGTCAGTATTTCAAGAGAACGAGAAAAACCTTGTAAGCTTCTCGCATCACCGGAGAGTGGGTCCAAGCCATACGGATGAACGACTCGACAGTTCCATATTGAAGGAAATGGACGCATGACGTATATATCACAATCTTTTCGATCCTCAGCAAAGTAACAAAACCTGACAAAATACCAAGGAAATGTAAGAGATATGAGAAAAAAATACTCCAAATAATAATGGCATAAACTGGAGATGCGAGTAATTTAATTAAAGCGCATAAGAAACGAACGTTTTTATTGTCTTATTTAGAAGAACTACATGTAAAAACTACTGCATACTGAGTAACTGCTCTTGCAGTTTTCGTTCCGTTTATTCGTTTTCGATACATTTCAGTTTAAATGTACCAATCAATTCAAAATTTCAACATCCCTCCCCCCGGCATTTCCCGTAAATTTGAATTCAAGTCTTCTCCGGGGAGTAGGGAATTTGACGGACTTCCATGCGGTGAGGTATTTGATAAGGGTGGGGAATTAACATTTTTCTCGTTTTCGCGCGCTTCCTGCATGCAGACTATTAATTAAATAGAAAAGACTTCGTAATGGAGGCAAATACAGTTTTCTCAGATTTTGAGGGAAAAGGGCTCAATTTTGTGAAAACTGGCTCAAGCCAAGGAAACGGGCAAGGAAAAGCTATGTGCTTCATTTGAAGGTATGTACCGTAAAATTGTGTAAAACTGTTAAATTTCCATAAGGTTTCCAAACTATTTTATATATAATAAGTGAATTTCGCTATATCACCGAAAAACATTTCCGTATATTTTGTACTTTTTGTATTTACTGTTTCATAATTTTCATATGAAGGTGGGGCATTTAAACATTTAATTTCTTGTTACAGCGGGGCATACATATTTTCCGAGATATATTTTCCAGGCAGTGTGGGTGCAAGCCACGGCAGCGCATTGTAGAATACTAGCGAGCTTAAGATGCACCAAATCTACGACGCGGACGTGAAGAAAAATTGTAACTACTCAGTACTCCCACAGTTTCACTACACGGATAAAAAGTTTGGCCTCCAATTGATAAATAGAGTCAGAGACACAAGTGAAACAAAATAAAACTGGATTCCAAACATTAGCAACGGTTTTTATGTCACGTCCGCGTCAGATTTGATGCATCTTAAGCTCGCTACTATTTATACCGGACCACCACGTTAGAGATATCTTTTTCAGGTAATTCACACACAAAAAATACCATTAACACATAATTGTGGAATACTATACAGGGTGTATAAAAAAAAGCGCAATCCTCGACTGAAATGTAAATTGCTAAACAAATAATAGACGAAGACGTTAAAGTTTACATTCATTTTAAAGCGTAGCCATTCAGCTTTCTAACAGTGGGTTGTTTCTTAAATTTGACTCATTGGTTTGCGGGTAATAATACTTTACGTTATTGCGATTGGAGATTACAAAAAATTGAGATGGAATAACAAATCGTTCTCATGAAAATAACTGATTTTTTTCATTAAACAAAAAAATGTTGCATTTTATTAAATGGATTGTAACAATAAGTATAATTACGGCTTTTCTTCCACTCTTTTTAACTCAGTTTGAAACTTCAAATGCGATATAATTTTGGCTTGGACCATCTAAGCTGACTGATATCAACTTGCTATAATTTCTGTTTACATTCCATCGCAGTTCGATGACACTCTGGCTCAGACACCAGAATGTTTTGACGATTTTTAGCATTCGTTTAGGATTTTCAAACAACCTGGTCTCTTTTAAAATACTTTTAATTTGTTCTTACGTGGCTTTCCAGATGTAGTGACGACAACATTAAAGTTTAAAGAAGAAAATTCTAACATTTAAACCGACTAAACAATAACATAGTAAACTAGCATAATTAAACAGCAACTAAAAATGATAGGTTTTACTAAATCTTTTCCTGTGCAATTATTACTAGCATTGGAGACAAGGATAATAGTTTGTTTGAAAGAGAAAAGAACAGGCTTTGAAGTAAGCCTAAAAGCGTTTAAGTAGAAATAGTATTTCGAAAGTTATTAAGCACAAAAGATGAATTGCGTTTATTTTGATACACCCTGTATACCTACACTAAAGCACCATGTTTCACTTTGAGATATCTTTTCCAGGTAGTTCAGACACAAACACAGCAGCTTACGATAGAGTACTACATTCATTTTACGCCAACATTTAACAAAATAATTAATTACCAAGTATGGTCGTGTTCTAATTCTTCTTCCCATATAAATGATTTTCCTGACCACTCTGCCAATGGGCCCTCGTTTGAGAGGTCAGATTTTATCCCCAAATCAAAATGTCTTTGTGTATACATCTTCCAAAAATACTTGTCACTCAGCAATGTCTGGAAAGAAATTTAACAAAGATCTCCAAAATATTAGACAAAATATAAAATAACAACATAATATAAGACACATCAAGGTGCACATAATTCGCTGCTTAATTTGTTAACAACAAAAAGATTGGATAAGTTAGCTCACTGTACAAGGTTTCCAAAAGAAGGTTCACTACCAGCATGTCCGCGGGGTATACTCCCTCGGAAAATGTTTGTAATTTGAAGACTGGAAATTCGATTCTCTGCATCCTGAGCAATAAATTTATTCGTTAAATTTGTCCTCACAGTACTCATATTTGAGGCAAAAATTTAATAATAATCGATAAAAAATTGGTGATTCCTTCTGCACAGTTTTACACCAGATGATGATCGTCTTCACCCAACGGTGAAAAGGAAATTTTTTGGTTGAGGTCATCTTCAAACAGCAGCATGTCAGCTTTTGCGACATAAGCACGCATCCGATGCGAATATGTTGGTGTGTATTCCTAACATGCATGTAATATACTGCTTAGTGATACTACTACAGGGTATACTAGTATGAGAGATTGATAGTGATGCATAACGATTAACGACAATAATTCGCGAATCACGATGTATAACTCCTATGATTTGTGATGTACAATCTATGACTCGTTATGTACATCAGCAATAGGGAAACTGATTTAGCAAGCACCACCTATGCCGAAAAGAGAATTTGGCAAAAGGTGCTTCAGTTATAACGGTGCCTTGCATTGGAATAACCTTCCCCATGAGGCAAAAATTGCCGAATCCTTATGCTCTTTCAAATCAATATTAAAACAAAGAATGAGTTGACACTTGCTCGCGTGTATCATCGTGCATTAAAAATCATTGAATTTTCTTGTTCCCTTTCCTGCGATCTAGTCTTATTTTATCTTTTTTCATATTTCTTATTTTTTGTAAATATATACTATATTTCACGCCCATCATGGAAATCAGCCTCCTAACGGTTGTGGAAGTTAGCGTGGTTAAATAAAGTTTGTATATGCATATGTACGACACAGCAAATCAAAGCGCCTGGGGCCGAGGTTGTATATGTATATCGTTAAAGTGGAGACCGCTGGGATCAACGATCGCAGGCACATTTCAGAAACAACTTTCTTGCAGGCACATTTTGTAAAACTTTTGACACCAGAAGTTATAAAATAAATTTTATAATTTTTAGTTTATTATGTATTTTACTATCTGCTACTGTTAGTCTATTAAGATATTTGTTAATAGGGACGCTGACAAGTCAAAAATTCTAGAGAACAACTACCAGAGCACGATACACGTGCATGATTGTGAGTCTGAGCTTAAAATTCTCGATTTCTTCGGCCAAAAATATATAAAGCCATAACTCATAAGCCAGCCTACTAATCGGCAGCAATAGTAATTCATGGCTGATGGCCCAGTTTCGCATGTTGCATGAAGACATTTTGCAGGCACATTTTCAAATAATTTTTGCGGTCTCATGCGGGCAAAAAAGATAACGACCCCTGATGTACATATATGGGGAAAATGCTATACACTGATTGATCCTGCCTAAAATTAATGCACTTATTATTAGCATGACAAAATTACTGGATGCTGATTGGTTGAGAGGAGTACAATTATTTCATTAATTGTACTGCAGTACAATTAATGATTTTCCCACAACAAACAAAATGGCGGAAATGTATTTTAAACACAAGCGTGAAATGAAATTGCCCTAGAGGAACTAGATGAAAATACGAACAAAAGCCCAAATTGTGCTTTACCAAAAAAACTAAATGAAAATACGGACAAAAGCACCAAATTTTGGTTGAAAATCTGGCAGGACTTAGTTTTGGCGAGAGAATTGATGATGTTAACATTGAGAAGTATCCAATTTTGTCATGCTAATAATAAACAAGTAATCATGCGATGTTGCTCGTACAATTATGGATTAATAGTACTCGTGATGTTTGAAAATTTGCCAAATTGGACTCGCCCCGGCGCGGCTCGTCCAATTTTGGCAAAATTTCCAAACATCACTCGTACTATTAATCCCTAATTGTACTCGCCATCGCATGATTACCTATACTAATACGTATGCGCAGTACATGCATATGTCACGCAGTTGACTTTAGGGGGTACGTGTCGTTATAGGCCCAAACATTCCATGGGGGCCGTGAACTAGACGCTGCCCCTCCTCCTAATTTTTTTCCGCCCATCCCACCATTTCCACCAAAATCCGGCCTTGGTAAAATTGTATGGCATTGGACAGGGCGAAGGATTAAGGGTCATTCCTACCTTCCAAGCTTTGCACACTTGCATGTATCGTAAATTATCTCGCACAGAAAGGCGCAAAAAGATAGCATGGAGAACTTCCACTGGCAGTTGAACTCCTTGTAACACGAACACATCAGGAAATTTTGGTTTCTGCAAGTGTAAACAATAAAGAAAAATCACACCTACATGGGGTATCCAGTATGGCAATAATTTGTGCGTTCTAAACACCAGAGGGAATTGCCTCTTTTGAACATAAAAGTACTAGAAAGAGACTGCATACATACTGGATAAGGTTTCCTAGAGGGGGTGTACTACTAGGGGGGTCTGGGGTATACACCCTCGGAAAATGTTTGAAATTTGAAGACAGGATATTATTTTCTGCATCCTGAGCAATAAATGTATTTAAATTACAAATTTAATTAGGGTCGGGCGGTTTATCGATAAAACCGGAAAAAACCCCGATTTTCTAAAAAACCGATTCAATCGATGCATAAATTAGACAGTTGGCTAATTATGCATTAAGTTTACTCTGGACGGAAAGCAGACAAAGTTTTTAATCAAAACTGAACCAAAATTTAAACGAGTTGTCCTTGGACTATTTCTATTTAGCCCGAAAAATGTTCCTATTAATACGTTGGATATCTTTGAGTTATTGTGCTGACAGATGCGCACTCATACACACAATTTAATTGGAAGGTATAGTTCTGGATCTTTTGGGATCATACAGGTGTGACAAATTTCATGCCTGTAGTAAAGGAAAATTTTCGTCTTGGCAAATATAAATTTCAGTTTGGATCTGCAGTGCTGTAGCTAGAAAAGCCAGGCCAGGGGTATATACTATCTCTGAGGTATATACAAACTCCACCTTGCTGTTTGATAAATCTATCTTTCCGGTGAAGGTTATAACCGTCTATATTTGCAATGGATTCACTAATATTGTCGTTTAGCCAAGTCTCCGTAATGAGAACTCATCCAATGTCAATGCGTTTCCGTAGCAAGAACTCTTGTATTTCCACTATAGTTTAGGCACATGGGACATGGTATTTGAAAGCATTATCCGAGGAACAAAGTTATACGGTACTTGATTAAGGTTTGTAATAAAGTTGAAGGTTGTGCTGCAGCATAAGTGGGTTGCGAGTTACTTGATGTAAGATAAATCAAGTTGTTAAAATTATTAAAATTTCGTTGTCTTTCGCAAATTTTTTTTAATTTGCCGATTTCCATACATACGGTTTGTAATTCTTACTAGAATTTGACTGTTTGCTTTTGGGGTATCTATTTCGTTCGTAACGTTGTCCAGTACCGAATCATCGTTCCCGCATTTGTCCCGGTACGGTAGGGGAAGTCCCCAAAAAACTCGTGAGGAATCAGGTGTGGAACGAGGATTTGACTCAGATACAGATACAGATATTTCACAGCACACTCCCTATCAAGGCTTTTCAGTGACTCGAGTATTTCTGTCAGGCTAGGCTCATCGGGAATCTCCGAGTAGCGTTATCGGACTCCCTGAGGACATTAGGCTTACTCGCAACTGGATTAGAGGCATTTAACTTGATCGGTGGTTTTGATAATTCGATCAGTGGTAGCTTGTTAATCCACTCTGGTGGCTGTGTTGTGGGTCTACAGTGTTGGTGGTCCTCACTTACTTCAGTTAAATTATTATCGTCATCATTGACAATGTTCAAATTCAACTTGACCATACATTTTCTGCTTTTGGAATAGAGGTTGTTATATAGCCATATTTTCAAATATACTGTACTTTAACAAGCAAATTTGCTGCAATTTGCTGCGGCAACTGTCCAGTCACGCATAAGTGATAAAAAGCAAATACTGTACAAACTTTATGAATAAAAGATCGTCACGTCACGGAACGGCGAACATGCAGATTCAGCCATCTCAAATAATGGTAATGTTGGGATAGTAGCGTTGTAAACTGCGGAGAGTGGGCAGCAAGGCTTCCTCATGCACCACCCCATGGAAAACCTGCACCGCTCCTTGCAGAAGCGGCTAGATTCGACCCGGGTAGGCCATGCTCACAATTGTCCTGCAACTACTCATTATAGATAGGATGGCTCTAACTCAGAAATTGCATTGCAAGTTGCAGCAAAAAATTGCTTGAAATAAGTAAATTTTCTAAGGAATGAACAGGGCCTGAAATTCATATAAAGTGTATGAGATGAGGGGAAATCGACAATACAAGATTGTTCATATGGAACTTGACACAAGAACAGTGGATCTCTAGATATAATTCTTACCTGACTCTCAGTGACCTTGCTACTCTCAGAAGAGTCAGTCTTCTCAATTACTAGCGAATATTTCCCTTTCACTGGAGTGAATTGCTGACGTTCATCCCAACTATTTTTTGTTTTCTCCTGAAATTTCTTTTTGAAACTTTTCTCGGCCTCTGCTTGGCTCATTGGACCATCTAGCTTACTTTGTCCATCAGTTCCCTAATAATTTTGGAAGGTTTATATTAGTCTTTAAGTGGCATTAGCCTAATACACCATACTCTGTTAATTTTACTCTGTCTAACAGCAAATAATTTAGAATTGTTTTTCAATACGATTCCGATAAATATGGACCAACACCAATTAAATCTTGTAGATCACTTATAAATATCTACAGTCAGTCATTTTCTGGGATGAAATCAATAGACTGTTCTATGGTGGCCCAACGTTCTCATTCAAATCTTTTGACAAAATTTAAAGTGGAAGTCAAGTCCGTTCTGCGCATCGGTTCTGCTCATAACAATGTGAGGACCTCTAATGTGAACATTGCCCAAATTTCGAATGTTTCGAATTTTTCTGAACATAAACTCTATTTCATATTCATTTAGAAGCATAGCGAACCAAAATGGTGTTAGATATTCAGACAGTACATCATATTTTTAAAAATACAGCAGTTCAAAATGTAAACAAACCGTTTGTTTATGCACCTATCAATGTTAAGCCCCAGAGGGGGGGGGGTCGGGCATAGGTGGGGCATTTGACCTTTTGAGCAAATTTTCAATCAAATTCCCCACCGTCGGGCAATAAATATCGGTCAAATGCCCCACTATTTTGCAATAAATTGCAATAAATACTATATTAATAAAGGTTAATTGGTTCAAATTGCCCCAACTTGGGGCCAAAATGCTGATCAAAATCCCCAGGGTGGGGATGCAATTGATGATCAAATACCCCACATATGCCCGACCCCCCCCCCTCTGGGGGTTAACATTGATAGGTGCATTACATTACGGACTTGACTTCCACTTTAAAAGAAATTTAAAAACAAAATTAAAAATACAAAAAAAATTTAAAACAAAATTAAAAACACAAAGAAGAATTAGAAACAAAATTTGAAATAAAAAATAATAATTGTGAATAAACTGAAATTAAAATAAACTCAATAGAAAAAAATAATGATATTAAAATGTGAGTTTTGGTTTTAAACATAGGTTTTAAATTTCTTTTTAAAATTTGCGAGCGACCCAGCGTTCTCATAGACCATGATGCCTTGCGGGCATATAACAAATGGCGGGAATTGGCGCGCTTTTTATTATTTCGTTCATGCAAATGAAAAATCAACAGTTATGTCATGCACAAAAAATGCTATTTGGGATGATCTAGAAGCGAAAATGACAGGGAAAAGAACAACAAATGATGCCATGAAGGCATGAACAATAATTGGAATAAGAAAGGGTCAGCGCCACACGTCAGGATTGGACAGTAAACAAACGTATCGTCCAATACAACCGAGAGAATTTGTTCCAATAGTTGACCTGCATCTAAAGACGAAAGCGGACTTATAGCTTCATTAATATCATTATCGAGACGTATTAAGCATAAGCAAAATCGCTGATTCCTAATTTGCATTTTTAAGCAAAATATATTACTTGGTTGTTATTGATAGTGACTGAACGGGACTAAATCCTGAATAAATTCATGTCGATACATGCATGTCTCTTGTGCATCATGTTAAAGCGAGTCTTTCAAACTTATAGCTCGATCGATCGTAGTGAATAGTTATACTCATATACGCAAATATTTCTTGTGGCAACTGATTCGAAGAGAAGATGGGTTCCCCACGCTCTTCTCAGATATAGAAAGAAGTGTGACTGAATGACTTTGTGCATACAGTTTTATTAGTTTATGTTTTGCATGCAGACCTCGATCAGTAATCAGGTCACAAAAGGGATTCAATCACAATATTGTAAATACGCAATATTCTTTACATGAATAGGGCAACGTACAATGTACAATCATGAATAATTGCTTTACTGGCTAATTCAGATTTTCTGTTTGGTTGCAAGTGCACGCAATTTACCGTTACGTAGTCGCCCATACGACTATGACAGGCTACCAATGTAGGTATAACTCTTCAATATTATTATTATTTAATGGTATTTAAAAACGGTAGCTCTTCAGGGCACATACGCACCGGTTTTTCAAGAGGCGTTCGACTAAAAAAAAGCAGTTACAAAATATGAAGAATACAGGTGCAAGTTACAAGCATGAGTGCTACACAATACAGAAAAAAAAGCTAGAAGCATGCATGAAATTACAAAATGTATATAAAAATTTACCCAACCCCCGTTTAAACAAACTAATCACAATAGAGAACTTATACAATATATTATAGTATATCATTGTGGAGAATAATGATCAAGAATAGTTTTGAACTTCTGGCTATACTAATGCCTAAACTTTTGACCTCTGGAGGCAAATTATTCCAGGCCGAAGAAGCTGCATAGCTTATGCTTTTTTTCATAAAATTCGTATTTGGTTTATCAAGGCTGAAATCTTGGTTGTTGCTACGGAGATTATACCGCAAGCTTGTTTTGATATCAAACATATTTGTTGTGCTAATTGGCAATTTGTTATTCCTAATCTTATCCATAAAAAATAGTTTCTTATGCTTAAGACGTTCTTTCAAAGGTTGCCATTGTAGTTGTTTTAAAACATCGCAAGATCTTGTTTCGTACGTTTCACTAGTAATTACACGTGCTGCTCTGTTTTGCAATTTTTGTAATTTGTCAATTGTAAATGTAAAGTTGTGTTTCCCCATCTATAACACTTAGTGAAACCCACCAAGATATAATAACAGATTGTAAATTTGGATGCAAGAACGGCCATACCGTACCGATGGCAAACACAATCAGGGCAAAACACCACAGTAATACTATTCTAAGTTATCATATTTACTATAGTTATGCTCCGGCTAGATACTCGCTTTCTGTGCACCTATATAATACCGGCCCGGGAATGAAATTTGCAGAAAGAGGCAAGCAATAATTTTATTTTCGTCCACATCATAACAAATAATCTGCATACATATAAAGTTGCTTCATAGGTCGCTTTAGGTCGCACTAGCATATATTCACTAAAGCTGGAGCTACACGAGCAACAAAATTGCTGCAACTTGCAACAAAATCTGATTTCAACGCATGTTAATTGAAAATGTTTACACATAAATTACAAATCACAAGGCAACATGTGTCGACATTTCTACTTAACATGCGTTGAAATCAGATTTTGTTGCAAGTTGCAGCAATTTTGTTGCTAGTGTAACTCCAGCTTAACATAACCAATCAGATCTTGGATTTTGACGAAAGAACATTGCATAAATGAATATGAGTCCGCTTTCGTCCTTAGATGCAGGTCAACTTAATTTGGGACTTTATTAGTCCTGTTGTCTGTGCCTTCAATTTCGTATTGTAAAACTAATAAAA